CCTCCCTGGACCTGTGTCTCTGGGACATGCTTGACTCTTTCAGTGGGTTGCAGAGAAGATTCTGTCTTCCTGTTCCCAGAAATGTTGAAAATCTGGACCTAAAAATTGGAAAGCATGAATTATGTGTGATATGCTTTTCATCCCCAACTTTGTCTTTTTTCTGGTGTTTTCTTTCTTCCCTTCCCTTCTGTCTTTCCTTTTGTCTCTTCTTATCTTTCCCTATTTTCTGCCCTCTCTGTCTTTATCCAGATTAGGGCAGATTCCTAGGGGCTGGGGGAAGCCGACCTTTGTGACGACGTCCCAGTGCCAGGGCACAGATCCGTGTGAGTCACCTGTTGCCGCGGGTCTAGCTTAGGCTCCTCTCGGGTCCAGCTGAGACAGAACCAGGTTCTGGGGTGCTAAGTGCATGATCTTGGGGGTGGTGCTCGGCCCCGCAGGGCTGTCTCCCCACTGTGTAAAAGGTGGGGAGTAGCCAGATGAGTCGGAAGTTAGGTTCCTTTGGCTCCAAAGGCTGTGAATGTACAGAGGGCCGCCCTGTGTGGGACTCTGATGGGACTCCGAGAGCCAGGTGTGCAGCCAGCTGGGGAGGGCACTGAACCACAGCAGGCATCTGTCGGGGTGAGCTGGGCCCCATAACCTCCAAACGGATGCTTTCCTCCGCAAGTGCGGTGGCTCCACTGCCGTTGCGTGTGCAGCCGTGTGCTGCATGCTCACTGATGGCGAGTCCTGTTGTGGGGGGACATGGAGGACACCTGTGCTCCCTGCTCCTCCTCTGCATGTGTGGCTCCCCTTCCAGCTCCCCGAGCGAACTGCAGTGCCATTTGAGGACGCCAAGTCCCATGGTCCCATCCAGCGGGGTTTCCAAAATTAGCTTCTCAAGTGGAGCGAGATGAGGGAGAACCCGGCTTGCAGGGGTGTTTCGCGGCCAGAAGGAAGTGCTGCTTTGAGTCCCTTCTGCGCTGTGCTCCTGCTGCGCCGTCTTGGGTGCGCTCTGCCCCGGGCTGCGCGGTCACGTGCCGGCGGGGCACTCACGTCGGGTTCTGCACTGTCTTTCCCAGCCCCGTAGCCCCGCTCCTTCAGATGCGTCTCCATATTCCTGCTCTGTCCCGGGGTTCTGTCCGCTGCACACCCTCAGGTCTGTTTGACGAGCGCTGAGACTTGGGATTGGGTTTGGAAGGCCGCCGGTCGTATCTGGCCCTGGCACCGGCTCTGGTCCCCGATGCAGAGCAACGATGCGGCCTCAGTGTCCTGATGCCGAGTCAGAAGGGTTTTCACTCCAGATGAGAAATTTCTAAGTCTGACGTCAGCCGACAAGATGTGAAGATGGCAGGGTTGGGCGTGAATTTACGGTTGTTCGGTTGCCAGCCAGCCTCAGCCTGGGTGGGGGCGCCAGCAGCTCCCCTCCCAGTGACCGGGCAGCGGGACTGAGCTGCAGGCCCGCCCGTGGCAAGCCCCGCTCTCCCCCGCCGCCCGCCGCCACTGATGCTCCAGCTAGTGTGTACTACGAGTGAGTCCTTTCCGGTGACTCAGAGGGTCAGACCGCGGCCCGGGCCCAGAGACCCAGCCGAGCCGGCCGTCGGTGTAAGGCCCCGGGGAGCCCCTCCGCCCGCGCTGATAGCACGCGTCTGACTCGCACGCGGAGTCGGCGGTGTTGAGATTGGATGCGTCTTCCTGCCTCCGTGTGGGTGAAGGTGCCACGTTACCAGGCATCACTGTGCCTGTGGCTTTGGAGTAAGCAGACCTTCGGGTCTGGGGCGGACGTAAGCAGCCCAGCCACAAGCTCCAGGAAAGGCCTTGCTGGAGCCGCAGTGCTGGCCCCGGGGCCTCCTCTCCAGCCCAGGAAGCTGGAGTTCCCTCATTGGTGAAGGCTCAGGAAACTGCTGGTCGTGGGCTTGCCACACTGGTCTGTTCTGGAACTTTGGCTGGACACTGAGGGGACGACTGTGGAGGAGGCCAGGCCGGGGCGGGGCACGGCGTGCGTGGTGGGCGGAGCCGGAGGGAACACCCCGGCTTGCTCAGGCCCAGCTGCAGGGCCCGGCAGGATGGCTTCCTCTGCTCCTGGCCCCTGCCGTCAGAAAACTGCAGCTAGTTTAGGTTTTTCAAAAGTGCCTTTTGGTGTTTTGGGAAGTGTTTACAGTGAGATTAGAATTTTTAGAAATATGTATAGACTTCTATGAATTTTTTAGTTTTAAAAATGAAATTTTCATTTCATATATTCACTTCCGGGAAAGGGGGCTTGAACGTCCTCTCCGTCGCTATCTGGAGTCCCCGTGTGAGTGGCGGTGAAGCGGCTCATGGGACGTGGTATTTGGGTTACAGGCCGGCTCAGGGCTGGTCGGGCGTCTCCGGTGCAGCCCTCGGTGCAGACAGCTGGCTGATGGTTGGGGCCTGATTTGCCTCCCAGGTGACTGTGGCATCTGGTGCTTCTCCTGACTGGGCGAGCTGGACTGTCTTAACCCCAACCCGCGCCCCGCATCTTCTTAGAGCCATTTTGATATTTTGAAGTTGGCGGAATCAGGAAGGGGTGGCTGACGGTGGAGAGAAGACCCCAGGTCCCGGCGGTGGAGTCCCCGAGTGCACAGGGGCAGCGGGCACTGCAGGGGAGCAGGCCCGCGCCGCCTGCCCCGCCGCCCCCCTTCCTCGGGAGGGTCTGCAGGTCTCAGGAGACACTTCTGTGTCTCCTCAGAGTCCGGGCTTTTGTTCTGGCATTTGCACATCTCCAGAGATCCGCGGGGGTCACGGAGCCCTGCATTCGAAGGCCGCAGGAGGTGGTGCCTGTTCTTGGTAAAAAAGCAGGTTTTATCACAGTCAGCAGACTTGCTCTTGCTTGTTTCTGTCACGATTTGCAAGTCTGCTGGGGGCTGTGGCTGCTCTGGGAAAGCAGTGCTTTCTCCTTAAAATCAGTAACGACGTCTGTGATGACGCGCTTGTCACCGCAGGCGTTCACACCAGTCGTTAGAAGCTAATTTTACACCAAAGTGTGATTCCTGGAAGTTTTGTCAGCATTTCCTTTCCTGTTCGTCGGAGAGAGTATGGACGCTCCCCGGCGGTCTCAAGGCAGCCGGCGCCGGGTTCGGGGGGGAGTGGGTTTCGATTCCGCCTCTGCCGTCAGGACAGTCGCGGGTGGACTTGGGAGGAGCGTGCCCAAGGTGCAGGTGCCCGGCCAGGTGTCTTCCCGTGAGAGCGGGTTTGTGTGTCTTCGTTTCCTTGACTGGCCCGCAAGCAGCCTCACCGACAGCTGCTTCCGACGGGGCCTCCCCCGGCTGGGTTTCTGGGGCAGCCCGGCCAGTGGGCCGAGTCTGGAAGAGGCCAGCAGCTCCTCTGCTTTTACTGCCTTCGTGCTGTGGTCCCTACAGAAAGGCTGACTCCTGCCAAATGCAGGTGTGGGGAAGGTGGTCGCCAAACAGAGAAGAATCTCGACGGCTGGACAGATGCCCGCAGGCCGGAAACCGGTGGTCACCCTGTTTGCGACCAGACTGTCCGGGTTATTGTGCAGAAGGTCCTCCATCTTTGGTTCCGTCAATGGAAATAACCCCTGGTGGATTACAGGGGAGAAGGACCCACGCGCGTCCGCTGTTTGCAGGGACTTGCTCCTTGCAGACTCCGAGTGTAAAGTGTTTTAATTGAAATGCGAGCAGTTTCTGAAGCCAAATGCTTTCTCTGTCCTCCAGATGGACTTTCTGGCCGGGACCAGCCAGTGGAGCTGCTAAACCCTGCCCGCGTGAACCACATGCCCAGCACGGGTAAGTCAGCACGGCCAGCCCTGGGGGCACCCGGCTCCCCCAGACGGGTGTTTGAGGCCCCGCCGTACTGGGGGAGATGGAGGGTGGGGTGGGGTAGCAGGCCCATGGGGGTTGGGTGCTCTTTCCTGGGGTGAAATAGGCCGTCGGTTTTGTAGCTGAGATGGGCATGGCTAAACGCAGTTCAGTGGCTGAGAAATGCAGGTCCTCTCTGTCCTGAGCTCTGGAGCTGTGTTCCTCCCAAAGGTGGGTCTGACTGCAGGCCCTGAGCCGCATGGGAGTCTGGGGGGATGAGCTCTGGGCTCGAGCTGGGGACACGGGTGGACCGACCCTGCTGGTCCGGGGCCCCAGGCTCTTCAGGGGTGAAGAGAGTCAGTGACGTTGTCCCTCGAGCAGCTCTCTGTGCTTGAATTAACAAAAGTCACCAGCTGTCTTAAATCTCTCGTTCCACGTGCAGTGTTTCTAGGGACCATGATTTAGGCAAATCCTCAAGGCCAGGGAAGCTTTTCTGTTTCTTTTTGTGAACCACCTCCCCCCTCATCTGAGGTTTCAGCTCAGAGCCCATATGTCCATCTTCATGGGCTGTTTGGCCTCAGGGAGAATGAAGAGAGCACGTGTCAGCCCAGGGGTCGTAGGGGAGCCATTGTCCTGGGTCCACACATACTCTCAGGCCCGCGCTTTGAGGGCAGCACGGCTGGACCCTTGCCCTCGCTGCGTCCTGAAGCTCTCTGTCTCTGGTTTTTGCTCTGTGGCACCTACTGGACCCGGCCTCCCCGTGGCCCTCCCCGCCCGCTCTCTCCAAGGGCAGGGCTGGCTGGGACAGGGAGGCACGCCAACCCCTACCTCTGCCCCGGCCCCCAGCTGGCCTCCCTGTCGCCTCACCTCTCCCAGCCTCTTAAAAAGAAGTCAGAGCTTGAAGCGAGGCTGGAAGTGTCAGAGAGGCAATTTCTTTCTCTGTGTAGTGATCCTCCGAGGCCCGCCAGGGATCGCTGCTGGCACCTCCCCAGACACGAAGCTGGGGTTGTGTGTCTCCTGTGCTCCCAGAAGGTGCCCGCGTCCCTGGGCCTGGCTCTGGCCTCCTGCGGGGTTGCTCCCAGCTCCTCCCCGCTCTGTGCCCCGCCTCTCCTTCCCTCTATGTCCCACCTGCGGGCGGTGTCCTGGTTAACCCAGGACCTTGGGGGTGGGGGGGCGGGGGCGTTAATGTAGCTGACAAAGGTGCCCTTTGTCCTGTTTCAGCCCGTATAGACGGCGCTGATTTTGCTTTCTCTGGAGTTCATTTTGCCAGTGTTATTTTTGTCGAACACCGAATCTTTGTGTAATTTGGGCATCTTAAGACAAATTCCTGGTGCTCATCTGGGTGTGGGACGGAGGAAGAGACTTTTCAGTGGTTGATAGACTGTGAAAAGGTGGGTTCCAAGTGACCCGGAAAGAGGGTGGGCTTCCAGTCATTTCCGGCCTGGGAAGCACACCCTGCTCTTGAGACTTCCTGTGGGACCCCCGGTTCTGTGTGAAGACAGACCACGGACTTCAGTCTGGGGAGGAGGGGACCCGGAATCCTGGTGCCACACTGACAGTGGCTGTGGGCAAGCTGCTGGGGGTCTCGACTTTGTCCTCGTCTCCTCGGCAGGATAATAATGCCTTCTCTGCAGGATTCTTGTAAAAATCAAGTGCATTGCCTGACTGCTAGTGGTTCCTGGATGAGTGTCATCTCTCAAGGACCTGTTGACGGGTCCTGAGGACGGCGTGTGACGTGGCTGCAACAGTGCCGGTTCAGGCTGCTAGGACTGTCCCTGTGGCCTGTTAGAGAAGGTCCCCCCTCCCCCTCCTCTGGGAGAAGCACCCAACTTGAGAGATGGTGTATCAGGGCGGCGCCCCCAGGAAATGGAAGCCAGTAACATTGAACTTCAGGTTCCGCTGGTCAGAGTCAAAGGATAACCCTGCTTCCTGCTGTTTCTGCCTCCGTGGTTTTGTGGGGTGACTCTAAACCAGGTGGAGGCAGCGCCCAAGAGTGGCTGGCGGCGAGAGGAGGGGCGCACACGTGGCTGCACGAGCCGGATGCGGTCCCGGAGTCCGCACGGGAGTTGGGTCCTAGAAGCCACTAAAGCAAAGGGCCTTCTTTAAAGCTCCGTTTTCGGTCATTCCAATCTACCGTAAATCATGCTCTGCAAAGAAATACTCATCTCAGGGTATATAATGACTTGAAAATTGGTAATCAGACTTCTTTAAAGCTGCATTTTTGTGACATGGGAGTGAACATTTTTAGGTGTTTTTCTGTCAGTCCCAGTTTGCTGGTGCACATATTCCAACAATTGAGTTTAATCTTAAGTAATCTTTGACACACGGTGGCATGAAAACAAACGTATATATGAAATCTGCAGGAAAAACTCCAGCATTCACCGGCGGGAAGTGTCCCCTTGAACACGCAGCTTTTACTGTGAGCAGAGGCCACGTGCCTCCCCACCGTGCGTCTCCCTCGTTTCGTGGCTGTCCCGGTTGTGGATGGCGGCACACTCAACACAGCCTTTTCTGATAACAATTCTCTTCAAAGCCGGGTAGTCCTTACAGCGTCTCCAGACAGAAAAGCCCTGTTCATCCCTTTTATTTGTGGGCCACCTTGACTTGAGATAATTCATACAACACTCTCTCCTACTGGAGAAGTTTGTATTGTAGAAGGAAACACTTAAAATGCTATATTAATCCATGAGAATGGATTAATTCTCATTTCCCCACCTTCCCCCTTTTTATATATAAACATACCTGTCCTTTCTGTATTTCTTTCTTTCTGGTTTTTAACATTTTTCATTGTGAAATAGTTGATTCTATCATAAAAGAGAGAAAACATACAGCCACTGCCCACCACCGAGTTACAACAGATCCTCTACCGCTGTTACTCTGTGTCAGCATCCGGTTTCTTCCTGCTTTGGAAGAAGGGGAGTGTCACAGTGAGGGGCGAGGCTGCAGCATGTCCCCCCACCCCCGGGCGGTTGTCCTTTCTCCCTCCTGGGGGGACCTGGGGCAGACAGGGTGGCGGGAGCCGAGGCAGGTGCCCTGGAACCCACACCGTCAGCTCAGAGTTAGGTGAGGGGAGATGCTGGAGTCGGAGGGCAGCGGAGAGGTGGGAGAGGGGCGTCTGAGAGAGAGATCTCACCTCAACCCATGCCACACGCGTGGATCCTGGGGGCTTGCTTGAAAACGTTGAAGTCGTTCATTTCTGAATCATTCTAGTTGTTTTGAAGGAACATACTTTTCTCCTGATTATAAAAACAACGCCTGTTTATTATGGAAAAGAGACGTGGTGGTGAATGTGTGGAGTGTTGGTTCCAGAACTGGAGGGTGAGCTCACTCAGAGCCGGGCCCGTAGACGCCCACCGCCTGGACTGGGGGAAGGGGTCCCAGGAGGGGCCCCAGGGTGGGAGCGCGATGTGGGGGAAAACCAAACCCAGGGGACGGCCGGGTGCGCCTGTGGGGCGCCTGCTGTGACCTGAAGGGCCCGTCCTCCCACACAGAAGGGAAGTGGGGTCCCTGAGGCAAGGTCGCTTCCCCAGGGTCGCCGGGCGCAGCAGTCCTGGGGCGGGAGGGCCCTGGGGAACAGGCGGCTCGGAGGATGCCGGGAGCCCCTGGGCCAGCAGGGGGAGCAGCCCTGAGGGTGGGGTGCTGCTCTGAAGGGTGGCCTCTTCTGCGGGCTCCTGGGGCACAGCGCACGGGCCCCGCCGCCCTCACACGGGGCCCTCGTCATCCATGGGCATTTTTGTCCAGGTTAGCCAGGTTTCCTTTCAAGGCTGAATAACAAAGATGTGATTTTTAAGAAAATTCTGGAAACTTGAAGAAACTACAAAAACTCTAGAGAACTTATCCAAACTAACAACAACAAAAAAAGTGAGGTTTGACTTTAAAAGCCACGGATTCCCAAATCTTACTGAGTGTTTGGCCACCACACTGTCAAAGGGGTTATCTTGACCCTCCTTGACTTCTGGAGCGGGAACCCTTTGAGGTCAGCTGGTGTCTGAGACTCCTGTGGCCTCGGGCACGTGGTGGTGTCTTGTCTGGCTGGCTTTGGGGAGGGGAGGGGAGTTGCGAAGCAAGTGCAGACAGAAGACTGCCTGTGGCGTCGGGGGCTGCAGTCTCCCCACCGCAGCACCGGCACCGGGGGCTGTTGATTTCTGTAGTAAGTAGAGCCCCCAGCCCCGTGACAAAGCCTCACTTGTGACGCTTCTCACTCGGTCCTCCTTTGTGTGTGTTCCCTGTGAAGCTGGGGTTTGGGGTTTGGGGTTTGGGCCTGCTCAGTGCCGGGAGGGAGAGGACTTCGGTTTGCTGGCTCAGGGGCCAGGCCGTTCCCGCGCCGCGCTGGGGCCCGCAGGCGTGGAGACTGGCCCCGGGTGATGAGCTGCACCCTGGGCTGCAGGCCACTTGCTTTACCCCCGCCCCCAGCACTGGTCCTCTCCCACCAGACTGTGCGCGCCCTCCGGCAGCGCCAGTGCCTGGGCAGGTGCCGGGAGCAGCACGTGGCACACACAGCATTGTGTCTTTGTCCCATTTCTCTCCTCCTCCCCCGTTACAGAGAGCGCCCCTCCTGCCTGCCCACGTTGCGCTCCGTGTTAGGAGAAGCGTGTGTGGGATCAGGACTGGGCCCATCTGAGTTACTGCCGGGCCCAGGGCAGCGGGATTTGCCTGCCCCCGAGTGGCCTGGAGCAGGTGGCTCGTCCTCTGAGCCTGGGCTGCCTCTCTGGTGTCACATGGCTGCTCAGCTGGCAGCAGTGGCATCAGGAGACCGGGAGGCTGGCAGGCGTCGTCCAGCACACGGGAGGGCTCCACTGGGCTCTCCATCCGTCTTCTGTTTCATTGTGCCCGGACTCACTGGTCCACTCCAGTCAACTTGTCCCAGCCCCCGGCTCTGCTGCTTCCTCCTGGCCCCCCAACCCCCCACCAGCCCAGAAGCCTGTGTGACGGCCCCCCCAGGACTCTGGTTTTTAAAACGAAGCAAAACCAGCCTGTGTGGTGGAGAAAAGCGTGACAACAGACGTGCTCGGGGTTGTGCTGCATCGCCTCTCGGAGGACTCGCACCTGCCTGGGCGTTTCCCTGAATGCCGTGTTTTATAGACTTGGAGGCATGTCTGCCCTTCGCGACGTTGCGCACCCAGACCTGCTTAATGTTTAATGCCGACACATCCGTCTTTAACACTGAGCCTGGCCGACAAGCCTTGGCCCCCAGAGAGCGGACTCATGGTGGCGAGCCCTGGCCTCCCGCCGGCAGCTGCGCAGGTGCGCGCGTGGATGGGATTTCTGTCCACAGGAGCCTCCGGAGCTCAGCCTGCCGGGCGGTGCCGCCCCCAGAACACGGGCCATGGACCCCACTCCGGAGAGGAGACTGAGCTGCTGCTTCAGAGCCCAGGGCCTGTCGCCTGGCCCGATTCCCATCCACTGCCCCTGCTTCTCGGTTCTGATGAGTCCAGGAAGGGGAGAATTCCCCAGGTCGTCCTTAATGGGATAAAGTTTTGGATTTGGTGCCTTGGGATGGTGTTTCCCGAGGAAAGGCAAGCCAGGCTCCCGTGTTTCTGCCTCCTGTAACAGATCCAGCCCCGGTCCCGCGTCAGTCCCCGTGTCGCTCCCTGTCTTTGGCCTTAACAGTTGATTGCGAGGCCCAGATTCTGGGAGCCGTGTGGCTCCTGCAGCCTCGCCTCCGCCGGTGACGGTGACACCGCTCTCGCCATGCCCCCTGGGCTTCCGAGTGCGCCAGGCGCGGGGGCTGGCTGGTTTGGAGAGAAGGGACACTCACCCCTGCTCCTGTCCTCACTTCTCGGGCCGCTTCTCGATTCCGCCTCTCCGCCTTCCTCCTGTCTCCTTCCTTGGTTTCCCTGGCTTTTTCACTCAGCAGGGAGAGCTGTCTGGAGCCTGGAAACACCTCTCCTGCCGGATCCCGAGGCCTGGGCGCCTTCCGCCGAGGTCCGCCTTCCGCCCTAATCGCTGCCTGGTGGCAGGTCTGCGCTTCACTCCGGACCTCAGTGCTGGTGGCCTCCTTCCCCCTGGGGCAGTGGGTTCCCACCTCGGCCGTGTTGTCGGGGCTCCGCCTCCCGTGATGCCAGGCTTTCTGGCCCGTCTAGTGACCCTGCCGTCTTTGTCACAGGGCATCCTGGCAGCCAGGGCTCCCCGCCCTGCTCTCGCACATCTCCCTGGGGCTAGTCAGCTCTGTGACTTGCTGGGAGGCGTGGCCAGGCCGCCCGCATCCTGGGGAGGAAGATGGGTCGGGGCCCCTTCAGCTGTGGGGCCGGGGTCAGGTGACTGTGCTCCTGAGCAGGTCCTTCTCCTGCGTCGGGGGCCCTCGAGCTGAGGCTCTCAGCCCCACGAGGCTCTGATTCGGTTTCTTGTCACTGATGAGGCAGGTGCCTGTTAACCACCCGTGTCTTTTCTAACTCCCAGAACTTGGTTCTCCCTCATTTGTGTTTTCTCTGCAATTCGGTTGGTGTGAGTTAATAAAAAAAATCCACATCTGCCGACCCCGAGTGTCCTCATGCGGGACTGGAAGGTGGTTATTAGGCAGAAAAACCGGCTTTTCCCCAACTCAGGATTTTGCTCTGCTGTGCACCAGACGCGGCACTGATGCGGGAAGGTGTTGGTGCATGAGGACCCCACTTGCAGAAGAAGCACTTTCTGTCTTTTTCTGTCTTCCATTACCAGCCTCTGGTTCTGTACTCAGGGCTGTGGCATGTGCACGTGGTGTATCCGGAGTCTGCAAACCCCTTCAAAGTGTCTAGAAGCACATTCGGCCAGGGTCCTGGGGCCACGCTTGTTACCTCTGGTCTGTGTTCCGTGGTTTGACTGAGAACACGGTCACAGTTTAACACCCGGTAACACTTCAGCCCCACTGCCAGCCTGCCCTCTGGGAGGATGAAGTGCTGTCTTTGAGGAGAGTTTCCATTTCTGGAGTCTCGGCATTGTGTACCGTCCGGGCCCAGGCCCTCCGGCTTGCTAGTGGCCTGGGTTCTGAGCACTCCAGCGGGCCCAGGGTTGGACCAGGGTCCTTGGGTAGTGGGTGCCCAGCGGGACAGACGGGCAGAAGCAGAGGAGGCTCACCGGTGGTTCAGGAGCCCGAGGGGAAGGGGCTGGCGCTCCTTTGGGTCCCACAAACGCCCACTGAGCACCCGGTGTGTGGCCAGCCTCGGGAGGCCCGTGGTGCGGGGGGAGCCGCCGTGTCCCGCAGGTGTCCTCGTCCACCTTTCTCCGAGCCACCCCCACCCAGTGTTTCCGGGGGGGCGCGGGGAACATGCAGACCCCGTGTCGCCGGGGCAGGGAGCACGCTGTCGGTCTTGTCGGTCGAAGTCTGAAACCGTGCCTGTTTCATCAGCTCTGGTGACACTCCTGTGCGTCTAGTTTCTGCTCCATTCGCTCCTGTTCTTTATTCTGCCTTCAGGGGGTGGCTTAGTGTTCTTGTTCTAAATGCTTGGGTTGGACATTCAGCACATTAACCTTTGCCCTTCCTTCCTTTTGACGGAAGCGTGTGAGGCCCCATGTTTCTCTGGTACCACTGGAGCTGCCTTGCTGAGCTCTGGTTGGTGGTGGTCAAGTTCTAGGTTAGAGCAGTTAATTTGTAGCCTCTTTAAAATGTGTTCCCTGCTTCTTTTTTCTTTGAAAAAATGAGATGTTTAGAAGTGTTTTTCACCTGGAAGTACGAGGTTTTTCACGTCATCTTTTTGTTACTGATTTTTGTAACACGGTGTTGTGGCTAGAAATTTCTGAGCCTTTGACCTTTTTTGAGACTTGCCGTATGGTCAGTTTTTGACTCGCCCACGTGGACTTTAGAAGAGTTATATTCACTACTTGTGGGGGCAGGAGTCCAGATACGCTCATGAAGGCAAGCTTGGGGGTAGAGAATTAGCTAGGACATTGGAAGGTGCCAGAAGGTGATGAATGCTGTCGAGAAAAAGTAGCAACTGAGGACAGACGAGTTAAGTTCCCTGTGGGGTGCGTGTCTGCGGCGCTAAATCACGTGGTCCAGGATGGCCTCGGGCTCCGTCCACAGTGACTGGGCTTCCGGTGCCAATCACTGCTGTTGGCACCTGGGATTCGCATGTTGATGGAAAAGCCAAGATGCCTGTGTTTGTGGAGCTCATATTATACTGCGGTAGGAGAGGACCGGCAGTAACTACAGTTAGTAAACTGTGTGGTGAGGAGGGGGCTCCGCAGTGGAGAGGCTGGTGATCTTCCAGGCGGGGTCGGGTCGGCCTGGCGAGGGGACGTGGTGGGGGCAGACAGCTGATGGAGAAGGAATCAAGCGGGGGGGACTGGCGGGGGGAGAGCGCAGAGGTGCAAGGTGGGCGAGCCGGGCACCTGTCAGGTCAGGAGAGGAGGTGGGGGGGAGGGAGAGACAGGGGAGGAGAACCTGCCTCCCTGGGCTGCTCCTGTCACCTGTGGTAGAGGAGGGACACCACCGTCACTGAGCCGCAGGGAATGACCGCGGTGGCCCCTGGGTGGGGGGCAGGGGCCTGGCTCAGCCGGCGTAGGGACGGCGGCCGTGGTGGCGTGTTCAGATCTAGATGTATTTGGAAGCAGGTGGGATCTACCAAGGTGGTGGGTGGGCAGTGAAGGAGGCAGAGGAGTGGAGAGTTACTCCAGGGTGGCGGCTTTGAGCATCCTGGTGGTGGAGATGCTGTGAATTGAGGTGGGGAAGAGGGGCGAAGCCGGCCTGGGGAAAGGTGAGGGCCAGTGTTGGACGTGTGGGTAGTGGCAAAGTCAGGCTCTGAGCCCAGCGCAGGAGGATGAGCAGTATGGACATGAGATCTCCCGGGGCTGGGGCAGGGGGCTCTCCGCGCACCGTGTATTTATCCTGCATGGTGTTTGTAACACTGTTTCATAGGCAGCGTTTGCAGGGTTTCCAGCACATCCACCAGGTGATGCTCGCAGTGTAGTCATCCAAACCAGGGTCCTTGCTTTGTGGTGAGCATGTGTCCCCATGCAGGAGCAGGCTGCCCGCCGCCTTAAGTGGGAGAGCTCAGGGTCACCACGCTGGATCGCTGCTGGTGGCCGCAGTGATGGCAGGAATGATGATAACAGGTCATTTTTCCTTCACCCCACAACCTGTGTGAGCAGCTGCAGGAGGAACCCCATTTCCCAGCTTCCCTGCACATAGACCCAGTGGGTGGATCTTTGACTAGCGTCCCAGGTTCACACTAAAGTCTGAACCTAACCTGCCCTCAACACACGCTAAAATCCCACATTTCCAATGGCCTGTTGGATTGTCCGTCTCCCCCCTGCCCCTGTCCCGATTGGCCCACAAAGCCCCTGAAGGAGGCTACCTTCCTTGCTGGGCATTTGAGGCCCAGCTCAGGCATGCTGGTTTCCAGAAAGCCCAGGGGGGAGCGCTCATGGCTGCCAGGAGGCCTGCCTCCCTCCCCGCCCCGTGCCCGAGGAGGCTGGCTCGCCCCGAGGAGTGCAGCCCTGCCTCAGGCGCCCCCTGCTGCCCTCCCTCCTCCTCCGCCAAGTGGAAGAAACACCTTCTATTTTTAAATATTTCAACTGTTACTCTTAAGTAACACCGGTTCCTACTGCAGCCCCGCTGTTGGGTGAGATACAGAGCCAAACGTTTGGAGGTTGCCGAGAAGGAAGCTCTGAAATGCGTTCTTCTTCTGTTACGTAAACTTGACCTCGTGTAACTGAAATGGCAAAGACTGAACCGCAGAGCAGGTTCGTGCAACTGTTTTTAATTTTCAGATGAAGTGTTTTTATCCACTGGGTGTAGGGCACTCAGAATGGCTTTCAGAGCGTAACGAGCGGTTGCTGCTGGGGTGAGGGCGGCGGGGCTGCGAGGGCACAGGGGCTCCAGGAGGTGTGGCTGGATTTGAATCCAGGTGTCATCCTGCTGATCCGCTGAGAACTCTCCAGCCTGGGGTCCCCCTCTGTGTGCCCTGTCACCCTGGGGCCACAGTGTGGGACTGCGGGGAGTAAAGGAGATAATACAAGGGAGGCACTTCTATTCTTTTTTATTTTTTAGGGTTCTTCAAAGTTTATTCATTTTAAACTATTTTGCATTGACATGCAGTTGATTTACAGTGTTCGTTTCAGGTGTGCAGCAAAGCGATTTAGTTGTACAGATACTTACATACATACGTATTTTTTCAGATTCTTTTCTGAAAACTATAGGTTATTACAAGAAATTGAACACAGTTCCCTGTGCTGTACAGTAGGTCCTAGTTGTTTACCTATTTTATACATAGTAGTGTGTATCTGTTAATTCCAAACTCCTAATTTATCCCTCCCTCCCCACTTTCCCCCTAGTAACCAGAAATTTATTTTCTGTGTCTGAGAGTCTCTTTCTGTTTTGTAAATAAGTTCATTTGTCTCAATTTTTTAGATTCCACATGTAAGTGATATCATATGGTATTTGTCTCTCTCTGTCTGGCTTACTTCACGTAGAATGACGATCTCTAGGTCCATCCATGTTGCAGCAAATGGCATTATTTTATTATTTTTTATAGCTGAGTAGTATTCCATTACATAAATATGCCACAACTTCTTTATCCAGTCCTCTGTCAGTGGGCGTTTAGGCTGTTTCCATGTCTCGTATTATATAAGTAGTGCTCCTGTGGACGCTGGGGTGCAGGTGATTTTCTGAATTACAGTTTCCTCTAGATATATTCCCAGGGGAGGGACTGCTGGGTCACATGGTGGGTCTAGTGTTTTGAGGAATCTAAGAGAGGCTCTTTTAATAAGTGCTCAGCGATCAACCTTTGGCGGTTTTGTTGTTGTTTCTGCTCCATTGCCTTTGCATTGTAACTGTATAATCTTAGAGTTCTTATCCTGTTTGTAACATTATGACACCTGTTGGTGAGATGATGACAGCAGAGTCTTGGATGGGTTGCTCTGTCGAGCGCTCTTCCTGGAGGTCACGTTCGCCTTTGGTGGCTGCCTTTCCATGTGAGAACTTAGAGCACGTCTCACTGTTGTTTGCACTGGGCAGGCCTGCTTCTATTTATAGTTTCCCGGAAGCAGATTTGTGCACTTCTTGGAAGCCAAGTTCCCAACTGCCTGCCAGGTTTTTATTTACAGCTCTTGCTCAATTTGAGCTTGCAAATATTTCCAGAAGACAGTTTTTCTTCTTGGGGGATCCAGAGCAAATTAGAAACATTCAAAGGATTTTCTAAAGCGCTTTAAGGAGAGTTCTGAAACAGGGAGGGGGGAAGGGGAGCCAACACTGGCTTCATCGCAAAGTCACAGAGCACAGAAGGGCAGACGGTTTTGCCGCCTGCAGACAGAACCCTGGCCGGGGGGCCAGTACACAGGGGTTTACGTTCACTGGATTCCACGGCAATAGCATCACCAGCTTCGGGAAGGCCAGGACAACTGCAGGGAGATGCTGGCTCTGCTTCCGAACCAGAATCCACGTGGCCGGTGGCGTCCTCTGGAACCGCCTGGATCGGAGGGGTTTCGGAGGGCTGCCCCAGTACAGCCACGCTGGCATTTAAGTCATTTTATTTTCGGGAGAATTGGACTGGGAATGCTTCTGCGTTGCTGACACAGGGCATCGCTCTGAAGAGAAAGCCCTTGCAGCTGTCCGTTAAGGAAAATCTTGTCTCTTGGAAGTTCGTTCTAACAGCTTCAGTAGTTTCAGTTCGTCCTTTAATAGGATCTTTGGGAAAAAACGTGCACCAGGAGAGAGAGCCCAGGTGGGCGGGTGGGACAGGCAGCCCTCCACCAAGGAAGAGTTTGGCTGGAAATGAGATTTTGGAGTTCACCGCAATTTCAGGCCTGAGACTGCCAAGG